CTTCTTCGGGCCCTCGGCTACCTCCACAGCTCAATCCGTAGGCGCCAGCGCCAATCTGTGCGCCACTGTCAATGCACCTCGTAATGCTTCTTCTAATCCTACCGCCAGCGCCACTGCCTCTAGGCATCTATTCGCCTCTTCGAATCCGTCCTCTAACGGTGCCACCGCCACAACCGAAGTGCTTGGAAATTGTTGGACCTCCGAAGATACCTGGCATAATGTCTACAGTTGGATTAATAATAGTCAGGTGAGTTCTGCCACTCTTTTACCTCTTCGCAACTCCTCCAATTTCCTATTGGACCTATAGTTTCGCCTTTCTCATTATTTCTTGTCTAGACTGTGCCTTTTCACCTACATTTGTGTCATTATTCCCATCACATTCACTTTTATTGCTACGATCATGGGAATTGGAATAACCTCCTCAGTTTCTTTGCGAAAAATTATTGTAGATGACTTGAGATTTTGGAATTTATAGCGTAAATAAAACGGCAAAATTCTTGCTTTTTTTTGGTTATCTGAACATTTTTTTAATTGCTTTTCAGCAATTTATCTGGAATTCTAGGCTCAATAATTTTTGAAAAAAAAACCATCTCAAATTTTTGAAATTTTATTTTTTCAAGAAAATAAATCTTTTGGTCCTTTGGAACTTATGAATTTTATTTTTGGGGGTTCTGCAACCTATAAATATTCCGTAGTTTTTGTAGAGTTTTACAGCCAAAAAATATAAAATTAATGGTCCCTTATGGCTAGTAGGTCACATTTTCCAGAGCTTTTGCTGTAAGAATTATCTACATGTCGCTTCCAAAAATTTGTTGTTTCAAAAGCGTGAAACTTTTTGGTTCCCTGTAGCCGTAGCATTCTTTGTTTTTCTGCAAATTTTGCTGGAAATTTTCCCGCGAAAATCCTCATGTATTTTCTCTAAAAATTTGTAGTTTCCGAAATGTGAATTTTACAGTTCCGTATACTACCCGTCTAGATTTTCATTTCTTTTTTCAAATTGCTCACTCCACCCTTCCCGCCCCCAATTCTATGTTTTTCTTACCCCCTTGCTAGGTATTAGTCAGACAGTATTGGCGCGTTGCCGAGTTTTTGAATGTAACGGGGTTTTTTCAGCTACTTTTTCAAAATTCGCGTACCGGTTCGATAGGCAGCCGTTACGAGTTGGAAAATGTGTTTCTGCAGATTTAGTAATCTACAATGACCTTTTTACTTTTGCAGCGGGCGGGAGAGGGCGGGAAGAAGAAGGGGAG